CTTTTATGGAAATAATACTGGGGATGTCTTTTAAGACCTAGGGCAGTCTAAAAATACATTACAACACATTAGAACTCATTGGAGAGCATATAAGACGGCAAGAAACATCAAGAGAAACTCCACGACATCAAGCTGGGTGATGTCTACTCTATATAATTCTTGTTCTCTTCTCAATATCATGTTAGGTTAGATTTATTTGTACTAGGGGAACGATGAACCTTGTATATGAATTTTTAATCTTTTGGTCTACATATTTGAAATTGAAAATAAGTTTTGATTTTGAATGATTTAATTATCTTTTCTATACAATTATTGTGCACGGTAGTTGTATAAATTTGGTAGCTTATTTTATGCATTTGAAAAAAGGAAAATAGGATCAACATAGTGTAAATTGTTATAGGATCCGATAAGGGATAGAAATATACCGCTATACTTTATGTGAATCTTTAAGTGTTCATAAAAATTCATGCACTCTTGTATGCTCGTATCCGTCATAGAAATATAGTCGGGTTATATATGAGAGTAGATTTAATATTACTCAATAGAGATTGTTAAATATAATGGAACATTGATTTTGTCAAAATTCAATCGTATTGTTAAAGTATCGAACTAAAGTTAAAAAGAATTATTGTATGAGAATTCAGGATCCTAGTGCACTTGTTATCCATAGAACACGTCAACTTGCATTCAATATAAGTTGCAGTTAACTTAGTTAATTCACTCATAATTGCATAAGTGTATTATTTTAGTTATAATTTTGTCACATACAAACACATCACATTATTATTGTTTCGGTTAAAGTCGCGATAATTAAAATTGAACTAAATCAATCTCCATGGAACTATAGTTGGACTCAAATCCAATTTATTACTTGTTAATGAACCGTACATTTGCGATGATTTTTAATCGAATGATATTTTCGTGAACACTTGGTCTAGTACAGAAGAGAAGGAAAGTACCGCTCTACCACCACCAGTGGTACCACAATATTCTATTGCTAAGGAAAGACCTAGGAGAGTAATTAAACATCTACAAAAGTATGTTGAAGCTGACTTGGTAGCATATGCATTAAATGTGGCTGAAAATATTGATTCCAGTAAAGAGTCTGATGCATGCTCAGAAGTAGTTGGCTACAATGATTTTTGTAGATGGATGATTGCCATTGAGGAAGAGATGGAGTCACTACATATATATGACACATGGGACTTGGTGATATTACCTAAAGAGAATAAGGTTGTTCGTTGTAAGTGGATGTTCAAAAGAAAGGAAGGTACATTGGGGGTTGAAGATGCCAAACATAAGGCAAGACTTGTGGCTAAGGGATATAGTCAGATTCCAAGTGTAGACTTCACCGATGTGTTTTCTCTAGCTCTTTATGGGATGCCATTTCTTGATCTACAATGGTATATAGATACACTAGCGTTCATGACTCCCTAAATATATTGTTCATGGTTGTTTTGTTGCTTGTTGCTACTATGTTAACTATTTATATTAAACATGATCCTAACAAAAGGAATGGAGAAGATAAATCAAAGAAAAAAATTTAGCAATCACCTATTCGAAGATCTTGGAGCGAGCTTCCGCAACACATTCCAATACACTTATCATTTTAAGTTGACAATAAATTAAAACACTTATTTGCAATAGGGATTATGAGAATTACTATGTGTTGTGCTCAGTGGCGGACCCAGCACCCAGTGAGTGGGTGCGAGCACGTGTGCTAGGATCCACCGGAACAATAGAATGAAGGAAGAAGGCTACCAGATCCGCGAGGCGGCGATTGCCAGGCGAGTTAATGTTCCAATTTTTTTTTTTTTTTTTTTTAAGTTTGGGCTTATGTTGTGGCCTATGAGCCTTTTTACCTCAATTGACCGTCCCAAAAAAAAAAAAAAATAGGGAAGATTACATATTAAAGAGAATAAGTTTAGCCTATTTCAAAAATAAGAAAATAAGTTTGAAATTTCCAAAATCAGATTTTTATTAAAAAATTTTAAATTTTTATTTATGAAATAAATTAATTTATTATTAAATATTTAACTCTAATATAATATAATTAACACATCCCACCTTCACCACCCCTACCGCTCCGGTGACCGT